TTTTTGGGACAGAGAGAGACAGAGCATGAACGGGGGAGGGGCAGAGAGAGAGGGAGACACAGAATCGGAAACAGGCTCCAGGCTCCGAGCCATCAGCCCAGAGCCTGACGCGGGGCTCGAACTCACGAACCGCAAGATCGTGACCTGGCTGAAGTCGGACGCTTAACCGACTGCGCCACCCAGGCGCCCCAAGGCATTTTTTAAAATGAAGCAAAGTTTTAATGATTTTTAAAAATAGGCTAAGCTGTTTACCAAACCAAATATTACTTTACCAATCCTTAAAAGGAAGGAATTAAATATTACTATTTAATATAAAATTTTAAGCTTGAAATCTTAAAAAAATTTTTTTAAATGTTTATTTATTTTTGACAGAGAGAGAGACAGAGCACAAGCAGGGGAGGGGCAGAGAGAGAAGGAGACACAGAATCTGAAACAGGCTCCAGGCTCCGAGGTGTCAGCACAGAGCGCAAGGCAGGGCTCGAACCCACAAACTGTGAGATCATGACCTGAGCCAACGTTGGACGCTTAACCGACTGAGCCACCCAGCCGCCCCGTAAACTTGAAATCTTATAAAAGAAAAGAAACACACTTCCAAAATAACACCAAAAAAGACACGTCTTTTTTAAAGCTTTTAATTTAAAAAAACAAAAACAAAAACAAAAACAAGAAATCGATAAAACAGGAGATGGCATTCAAAAGGACAAGTAATTAAATCATAATATTTCTGTTTCTTTTAATTTGCTGTAACAATTAATTTTCTTTGGAGTGTTGTTTTTTTAATGTGCATTTCTTCCCAAAGAAAAATCACTAAGAAATAAGTTTTCCAACATAAAAAATCTACTCGGGGTTTCCTTGAGAGCTATAAACAACGGGCGCACTTTTCAGGGACAACACAAATGTGAAACTAATGACACAGAAACCGCACCAGATTCTTACATACTCAGGCATACGGTGACACAAACACCAGTGCTTTTTCTTGAGGACTCACGAGACTATTTCCAGTTTTGACCTGGGAAGAACAAAAACTAGGATAACTTTCTCTGTTTGGCAGAGATCTCATCGGCTTCAAATACCAGCGCTGTCACTGTGAAATGAGTTGACCTAAGGTGTCACTCTCTATAATTCAATTCACAGAGCACAACGGATTCACAGAGCTCTTTCTGTAAAAGGCATGTGCAGTGTGTGTGTATATATGTCTATGTATGTGTTGCATGGTTTGTAAATTTTTTTGAAAATTTCTTATCATAAAGATTCCATCTAAGGATTAGAACTTCCTTCTGCCTGCACAGGGTTCCCCAAGTTCTGTCACTCTGCCACTAGCACCAAGCCTCTTGGTAATGCTTAGAAGCCTGCATCAAAGACAGGAAGGGAAAAGCAGAAGTGAAAGGGAGATGAAAACATAGGACCCAAGAAACAGAAAAACCTAAGAAAGCTTGCTTACCATAATACTAATTGATGATATAATAATTTGTACCCCCATGGCATCCAACATAATTCTGAACTCAGTGTGTTTCTAAATTCAGTCATAAAATCCTGTTCATGTTAGCTTATCCAACATATGCAACCTATCTTTTTTTTTTTTTGTATAAATAACAGGCAAAATTTGTACATAAACTTAAATTTGTACAAATGTTGTCCTGTCCTCCAGGTGGGTTGGAGTAATTACTCTATCACCGGATCCCTATTTTGTGACCGTGAATAAGTTTTTGTATGGCATGCTTGTTTTATCAACACCATAATTGTAATAAGATAAATACTCTCCAACCTGGATGAGTCCATATAAATACCAATTTCAATAATAAATCCACCCATAGTCACAATTTGCAATGGAAGTCCTGAATATGTATTAGACATTTCAAATAAATAGCAAAGCTGGAGTGTCATACCCTGAAATGCTAAACTGTCATTCAGGAAGTTGAAGGAAAACTTGAACATATTTTCTAGCCAGTTAATTTTTTTTAATGTTGAAATTTTCAATGTAAGTCACAATTTCTGAGGTTTATATTGGAAAAGAAAAACTCAGCAAGAAAAATATTGTAAGCATTTCTAGTGACCCTACTACTGAACGTCTCAGTCTCAATGCATACAATACTGTTACATTTTGCTCTTAGACCCTGTTCTTTCATTTTTCCAGTGGAACTCTGTAGTCACATGTGTTTGAATAGAATTCTGAAGGAAACAAGAAGAGGGGATGACAGAACCAGTGTCATGCTCTTCCTGTATAGATTCTACGTGCCATATGGAACAACCCAACCTTTGGCAAACTTCAGATCACAGGGTACATGTTTTAGGAGTCCACCAAATTAAAATCTGTGGTTCCCAGATTTCAAAGGCATTAATGTAGTAGTTGTCTGGGAATTATCAAAGGCAGAGGAAACACCGCCTCATGGTAATATACTGGATGGAAAACAATTAGCATTTTCAGGTAGTAGGGATTGCGAGAGAAAACTAACTGCAGATTCTCCACCAGACTCAACTCAAAATTTCAGGATACCATGAAGAAATTCCAAGGCAGAAAACCACACTTAATTCTAAGGTTTCACATTCTCATCGTGCATCATTCTAGAATGTTCTAGAATTGTATCATGGACCTTTACTGGAAATCTGATTCTATGTATTCAGACCAGAACCAATAGTTAAGAGTTGCGGGTAAGATTCTCATAAAAGAAAAGGTGTTTCTATATTCAAAGTCTTTATAGCACATTTTTTGTAGGACTCACCAGAGGAGGAATAGAACTTTTTTAGGTTTATAAACCACCAAAAATGTGAATGACGTTTGTAGGGTTTGGTGGCCATGCTGAACATGTAGCAAAACTGGAATGGAAGTCAGGCAATCATGTTCACATCCTGGCTCTTTCAGTGAAACCATATTTGTGGGTATGTAGGGTACTTTTCCTCCATCCAAAAGACAATCCAAAAATTCCTCCACAGACTTTAGACATAAACTAATGAATGACATCACCTTTAATGGTGAAATGAGGAAACATAAAATATAACAGTGAAGAGTTCCACATCTTAAAGGTAATTTCCTTAACAAAAATAAATCACCTGACACCCAACTGATCAAAAGGAGGGTATGGGCTAATACTTTAACATTTTAAAATTTGCTACTACCATAATGGTACTATATCCCAATATTAATTGGCATCTACATATTTCTTTGTAGTGCTGAGGTTTTCATATATTTTTACACGGTTAAGACTTCTTCTGTGGATATGGTACCTATGATATCCTACCAGGTTCCAATATATAGCATACCATATTTGCATTAACAAAATATTATTTTTCATTTTATACTTTTAGATTACTGTCTATATATGATGAAAAGTATTTAATATTTTTGTCTCCAAACTTCCTCTGTAAAAGAGGATGCATCTTATACATACCTGTATGTGTTACAGAACAGCAATTATATTGGGTATGCTTGTTTCTTTGGGTTACAATTTCCTTCTTTGTCCAATGATAGAGGCCACTACTAAGTTCATTAGGCTGTTGCAAACATCAAGATCATTTAGGCACAAGGTTTTTGAGATAAATAAAGCATTATAAAAAATGTTCTTACCCTGTTACCAGCTACAGGAGCAACAAGGGATTAAGTCAGATTCCTCTGGGGAATATAGAATTTCCTCTACTGTAAGACCTGCCCAGTTCCTTGGCTAATGGATGGGTCAGCCTAGAGAAGAAAAAACATTTAAAGAGACCTTTCCAAGGCTGGTAGGCAGTTGAATTTTCTTGCCAATGGAATTAGCTGAACGATCTATTCTGTACACGTAAGTTTGAAGTTGGCTTTCAATTTCCAACCGTTGCCCAAGAGTTTAAAGAAGAGAGAAGGTCACACCTATGAAAGTAAGAGATAAAATGTTTTTGTCTGTAGTTAAACACAAAAACACATCTCTGTTAAACTGACCCCTTGCGTTTAACACAATGACTGAATTTCCTTTCAGAAGGTATGGTTGTATAAATATTTCTTATGATTTCTTATTTCTTATTTCCACTAATCTAAACAATTTTTCTTAAAAAATACCCCCAAATATGCTTCATCCTTTAACACTGCCCAATTAGTTGAAATTTGAATACTTCTTCCAGCTCTGTAAATACAATCATTTTGTCTAAATTTTTGTCTCAACATAAAAATCTCAGCATAGGGGCCAGCTTTTACTCAAACTGCCTGTTTCAGATATGTATTACAATGGAAAAGACAACCAACAAATAAATATATGAGTAGGAAAAAAAAGGCTGGAAGTAACTACCTTTAAAATAATTGGTTGGTAGGATTATGGCTAATCTAATCTTGATTTTGGTCCACTGGCCTACATCCTCTACAAACTTTTTTTTTTTAAGGTTTATTTTTATTTATTTTGAGAGAGAGATAGACAGCAAGCAGGGGAGGGGCAGAGACAGAGAGAGGGAGACAGAATCCCAAGCAAGCTCCACACTGTCAGAGCAGAGCCCAACGCGGGGCTTAAACTCACCAAACGTGAGATCATGATCTGAGCTAAAATCAAGAGTTACACACTTAACCAACTGAGCCACCCAGGCGCCCCGCTCCTCTACAACCTTTGAACAGTTTTCTGTTTTACAACAAGCATGTATTACTTTTACAAGAAGGGTATGGGGGAGTCATTGACATAGAAAGAGTCTCAAGAATACTAGATAAATATACAACACGAGATGCCTCTGACATTGTCTCAGACACTGAACAGGAAATGGAAGGCTCACAAAAGTTCCTCTTCACAGCTAGCTCAACCTGCTTGAACAATGCTAAGTGTGTAATAATATTTTTTTTTTTTAAAAAGAGAGAGATAAATACCATTTTAGAAAAAATTAAAGCACATTTCCTTTTAGGGGCGACTAATTCAGCAACATTTAACGAAGCTTTTAAAACGCAATTGTCACAGAGCACCATTAAATATTCACACGAAAGAGACCCAGGCAGCTTAAAGATGGACATGTCCTTGTTCTTGAGATGCCCAATCCGCTTGCAACAATATGAAAAATATTCAGTGCATCTGGTTGGGGCCCACATGGATGATGACGTGTTTCTCGTAAGCCCTTTTCATTGTTTTCTCGATTTGCTTCAAAAACACTTGTGGGATTCGTCCACATAAAGTGTGCACAGTCTCCAAAAACTTCAGCTGGAGAGGGTAATACATGGATTGAAAGAGATTGTCTTGAAAGGGAAACTGAAAAATGGTTAAAAAAAAAAAATGAAAGAAAATGTTTTAGTTACTGAAATGCCATTTAAAACGCAAACAACATTTACCGAAAAATGAAACAGGGAATTAAGCATGCAAGCATAGGTTTGGAAGTTCGTTTTTTTTTGTTTTTAATTTTTAAAAAATATTTATTTTTGGGGGAGAGAGAGCACGCGCATGAGTGGGGGAGGGGCAGAAAGAGAGGGAGACACAGAATCTGAAACAGGCTCCAGGCTCCGAGCTGTCACCACAGAACCTGATGCGGGACTCGAACTCACGAGCTATGAGATCATGACCTGCGCCTAAGTCGCACGCTT